TGCAAAGAAATTGGTAGTTTGATACATTTAACTAATTTTTAGTTTTTTTAGCATTTTTATTAGTTGAAGTATTATTTTGAAAAAAAAAAGCAGGAACATAAAAAGAAAAAAGAAAATAAAGGAAAAAAGATGAGTACAAGTTGGATTGTAGTTTAAGTTTGTTTAGTTATTATAAACATATTAATTATTTTGGTTTAGATTTAAAATAATTAACGATTAAGTTTTTTAAAAATATATATTTCAATAGAGAAATTTACTAGTTTTTTGATTTTTTTCATTTCATTGRCAAGTTTTAATTTATTAAGTTAATTTGATTAAAAGATTTCATTTTTAGAGGGAGTTAACRTTACTATTTCATATTAAAATATTATATTATTATTATTTATTTATACAATATCAGGGCATAATAGTAAAATTTTATACATCCAAATCATTTCAAATTAATTTGCTTCCAACCACACGTAAGAATTCAAAATCACTTCCATCATCGTTTGAAATCTTGGAATTTAAAATAATTTCTATCCAATTCCAAATGTCAAATGCAACCCTCAAGCACAACACGACCGAACGGCATACCCAGGGTTCCTTCCACCATCGGGGGCGATGCTCTCCACCAGCGGCGGCGACGCCCTCCACAAGCGGCGGCGATTTTCTATTCTTCCTTGTTTATCTATCTTTTTCTTTTCTTCTCTTTCTTTGTATTTGCTGATCAATTTATGAGATGTGTTCAAAATCAAGATGGGTTATGTGATTTCAGTAGTTCAAATTCGTGGGTTTCTTTTTTTTGGAACAAATGGATGAATATGAGAAGTTGGTTATTGAAAATCCAGATGGGTTGATTATGTGATTTTTAGTAACTGGGTTATTGAATGATTTCAACCATTTCTTTTTGGGGATAAGCAAGGGCTTGGTATTCAGCAAGAAGATCATGCATCAATTTTGAGCAGTTCTACATCAACAAAATTCTGAGAAAAGGTTTGAGGCTTTTTCAGGATCTGTTCTTTGTTTTCGTGGTTTTCACTTTTCAAGGTCTACATCTTAGATCTGTAGGTTTTAGGGAAATTTTTTGGAAGATCTTGTTTGGATTTTGAGAAAAGATCTGGATGGTTTTAAGTTTGGTGAAGAAWTTTTTATTTTTTCCTTTTAGAGTTTTTTTAATTATTATTTTTTTTATATATAAGAAACCTCATATATGTTGGTTCTCAACGACCCGTTGTTTGGCTATTTGATCAGTTTGGAAATTAACATGGAATGGAAGAGGCGTGGCTGTTAATATTAAAAAAAAGTAATAATAATAAGTTGATTCGATTTGGTTCGGTTCGGTTTATCGTMTCTACTTAATCGAACCGGTTTCGGTTTTCTTCTCTATGTCTGAAAACCGAAGCGAACCGACTTTTTTTCACTCCTACTAAATAGTCTACATTACATAGATTGATGGTTGAAGATTTTATCCTAGTGATATTATTGATATGGTTTACTTTGTAATTGTGTTTTTATCTAGATTGTTCGTATGGAGCCATGAATAAATGTATCATATACAATATGATTATGGKTTGACCACTATACATTTATAGTTTTCTTATAAGACCATAAAAGAAAATGTAAATAGATCACTAGTATGGTGGTCCAAGATGTGTTTAAATTACCAACCCTAAGAAACTTAGTAAAATGAGTTTTTCTATTGATCCGTTTGGTTAACTCTTTAAAATCCTTTATCAAATAAACTCTACTATGTGCACATTGATAAATCTCTAAAAGAGAGTTATTGTGAATTATATTGGGCCAAATGGAGGGCAAATGAAAGAATTCCAACTATAAAAGCTCACGAAAATGAGGATTAAATGAGAGAATTCTAGCTATAAAAGCTCCATGCTTTGTTAATTTTGGAGAAGTCTGAACTCATCTCTATTGTTTTTTAATTGATTTTACAAAATMTGGAAGTATTGRAAGCAAAGCTGAGAAGTAGAAGTAATTACTAGGGCTTTCAGATGCTAGAGCCCCYCAATGTTGGAGCATCGCTTGCTGCATAAATTCYTAGACARTGCAGTAACAAGTTTTATGCTGGATTTTTACTGATGTCCGTAATACACACGTTTTATCAGGTTTTGCCATAATTTTTGGAAGCTATAAAAGCAACAACATGTGGTTGTCTCATTATCAATCCCCAATAAAGGAATAGATCCAAGAGAGGAATTTACTCCAAATTTAGTGTTGAAGCAAAAAAGGAGTTGAAACCCAAATATTGTGCACCCATTTCGAGGAAGAGCGGTTGATAAGAAGTTGGAGCTGCTAGTTTCTTCATTGAGCTGGAGGCTTCGACGGGTTTAAAAGCACTCTTTCACGAAATTAGTTGTTTCTTTTCTTTACTCATTGTATTCTTCCCCTTATCCATGAACTAAACCCTRTTTTCGAGGGAGATCCTTTGCTATAGCTTGTGAACAGAGGGCTTCTAGTCTATTTTTGTTGTTGTTAATAGAGTTGTTATAATATTTTCATCTTACTGATCTTTGTTAGYCACATTTATCAGTTTGTTTGCTCTTGCATGACTCGGAATGGTGTATAGGTAGTGTGTTTGGTTCTATTTGTGGTTAGATAACTTTTTTCTAGTAGATTTATGGATGCTTAGGGACAAAGTCTGCCCGTTCTTTATGCTTGGGTATTTAGCCATGAAAGTTGTAGATATTAATTTTTTAGTTTCTTGGAAGGTAACCATGTCGAGTTGAGCAGCAGTAGTAATGTTATGCTAGAGTATAGGTTGAAAGTGAGTGAATGTAGGAAATCTCCCCCGCCTTAACCCATATATGTACTCCCTTACTCTGTTCTTTGTGCTAGAGCTTTTCTTGCCCCAACATTCGTAGGTTGTATTTATTTCTTGGGGTCATTTACTGCAGTGGTCTATGTTAATTGATTTACGGTTCTTAGCACTAATATCTTCATTTTATTGTTTGCACATTTGGTACTCTTGCAGCATAAGCTTGAAATTTAACACTAAGTCCATGTGGATTCTACCTACTACAACGGATGAATATAGTGTACACTTGCACTAGTATTCACCTCGATTGTGAGTACGAAGGCTCTGAGACTTTTGCTTCAACTTTGATCAATCGTTTAAAGTCGTTAAAGTTTCTTACCTTAAGGGAGARACTCAATTACTTTTACCTTGAAAGGAAGGCCTATGTTTGTCTTGAGGATTATACTTGAACTTTATGCTAGTTTTAGGAGGATTATACTTGAACTTTATGCTAGTTTTAGTTTCCATAGGTGCTGTTGACTAAGAAAATCATTTTTTTCAAAAAGTCTTTGTGATGGGTCATGTCTATGAATTCTCACCCAAAGTCATAGCCAACCATTTTGTATGGCTTTTTACTTTTTCCTACCTRTGACATCTCTTTAACTATGGACCTTCTTGCCTTTAAATTATTGCTTGATGATTCTTAGCATGCTAAAAATTGTTTCACAGTCCATGACCTTACTTTCAAGTACTTATCCTTTCACAAGCTTTGTTATATGATCAATTGGTTGCCTACTCCTCATTATACTCTCACTTTTAGAGAAATTTTTGGGCATGGTTTTGGATTTTCTTATACCATTAGTCTTGCTTATATGATGTTTTGTATTATCTTGTATTTCTAAGGTCAAGAAGCATACAAGACTTATTAATAGATAGGAGAGCTAAAAATCCAACGTAGCGTGAATGTGGCAAATTGAGTTTCATAATTTAACATAATAATATCATTAAAAAATCATGAATTTGAATCTAAGTTTTAGGTATTGTTTAGATTGAAATATATGAAGAAATATTGAGATTTTTATTCGATATCTATTACTTATTTTGAAATTCAAATATAAATAGCTTGTTGCGTTTTCTATTATGCTTGGTTAATAGAAACAATATATTTTATACATTTCAATTAAGAGATAAAAGATAAAGTTAAATGAAAATTATAAGGTCGAATTACAAATTTGGTCCTTAAATTTTGACTTTGATGCCAATTTTGACAATTGTACTTAAATTTTAACTACATCCTTAAACTTTTTTTTTTTTTTGGAAAATATCATAGCACGAATATGGTGTGAATGTTTGAACTGATGCACATTGGCTAGATAATGAGAAAATCATGAGTATATGAGTAAGAGATCCATTGGTATGAATTTTTTATTTTTTTTAAAACCAAAAGCAAATCCATGAGGGCTTAAGCCCAAAGTGGAAAATATGACCTTTGTGGAGATGTGTGAGGGTYACCATTGACCCAACAAGTGGTATCAGAGCCATGCCCTTGATTTAGCCATGTCGGTAGAATCCTTGGATGTTATACAAGAAAAGGAGTTGGCCTGAAGGGTTGTTGGGAATGTGAGATGGTACGAGGCCTTTTGGTTGCAAATCTATGAGGGCCATGTCAAAAATAGACAATATCATATCATTGTGAAGATGTGTTCATCCTTAAATACAAAGAACTTAACCACTAAACTATGCTTATATGGAGAACTTTCAATTTTATTTTTAACAAGTTTTTGTCCTTGACTTCGTTAGTTTAATGTTAACGTGATACATTGATCGGAGCCCCGACGTTGACAAATTACCCAGCATGACATGACAACATGTGGCAAACAATATTGGAGCATTGAGCTCMAAAAACAACTCATCTTTTACACTCGACCATCCCATTAGCTCGATCATTCATATTTAATCTATTCACAACCTGCCAATTTATACATAATTCAATTGATTAAAACAAACATTCTCGACTAAAAGATTGAAAGTTCAAATCTACACCCGTAAACTTTTCATTAGCACAAAGTAAAGATCCTACGTCAATTAGAGTAAAGCTTACGTCCCAAGAACTGAGAGATGTTACCAATATATATAAAAAAACGAAAAATTTACAAATTAAACAGACACCATAATTTAACACAAATTTCATGATTCGGTTAATTAGTGATTTGTATAATATAACAGTTGTTTTGTTTCTCCTTTCTCTCTCCTTTAACCATTACCCAGCCTCAATTCTTCTCTCTCTCTTAGCTAGCAATATAAACGCAGCAGCCAAATCTCATCGTCATCAACCAGAAACCCCTACATCCGTTTTCTCTCCTTCTGAATCTTCTGATTGTTACCCCTTCAATTCCCTCTATATTATGCTACTCCAATCTACTCCAATCGAATCCAATCCAATTCCATATAATCCTGATCAGATTTGCTTCTGGACGGACTTATTTCGATCCGCCGACGATCTGTTGTTTTGTTCTGATTACCTATTGCGATTGTAATTCTGAGMTACTATCTATTTCGGCTCGGTTTTTGTTTGCCGATCAGATTGGGTTGATTTCGGTGGGTTATGAGGCAATGGAAGAATTGAGAAATGTAACTACGAGAGCTTGAAAGGATGCCGGGGTTAACACAGAAAAATGACCAATTAAATGGTGGGTCATCGGCTATATACTCGCTCTCGCCCAATGGATTTTGGTCCCAGCAACGCGACGATGTTAGCTACAATCAGCTCCAGAAGGTATTTGTTTCTTTCCTTTCCGGAAGATTTAATTCGAGTTCTCATTCTCATTATTTTTCTGGGAATAATTGCCACTACAGTAGATCACTTTTCTGCTCTGGCTTTTTGCCGGAATTATACTTCATACAAGTCTGGATTTAATACTGCCGCCGATGTAATTTACCGGAGGAGTGTCTAGCATTTTAGATGTGTGAGTTTGACACTGTAGACTTTTTTATTTTTTACTCAAAAACGTTATGCTGAATTTCCATATTTCCTCTACGTGTATCTGCTCTCTATGAACTCCAAATCTTCATTGCAATCATATCGTTTAGTTATGACCTTGAATCGTTAATTGGGATAAGTATGATCTAATTCCAGCATTACTTGGAACTTACGTGGTGAACTGACCATTGGCTAATAAAATTGTGTTTGCTCTCAATGTAGTTCTGGAGTGAGCTGCCGCCCCACACTAGGCAGAAACTCCTGAGAATCGACAAGCAAACCCTGTTTGAGCAGGCTCGTAAGAATATGTACTGCTCTAGATGTAATGGTTTGCTGCTTGAAGGATTTTTGCAGATTGTCATATATGGGAAGTCTTTACAACAAGGAAAAACATGTGTGAATCATTCCTGCAACAGATTAGGGGTTTCAAAAAATCATACATGTGATGGATCATTATCAGTTAATGGATTTCAAGATGAAATTCAAGATCCATCTGTCCATCCTTGGGGTGGTTTAACCACAACCCGTGATGGCTTGCTGACACTTCTGGATTGCTATTTGTGTTCAAAGTCTTTCCTTGGTCTCCAAAATGTAAGTGCACTTTTTTTTTTGGGGTTTTCTTAGTCATTATGCACTCTGTAGTAGATCATCTTTTTTAATGGCTAAGATTYGCCTTGAAGCAGGTCTTTGATAGTGCCCGTGCTAGGGAGCGAGAACGTGAATTGCTTTATCCTGATGCATGTGGTGGGGGAGGTCGAGGTTGGATAAGTCAAGGGACGGCAGGTTTTGGCAGGGGACATGGAACAAGGGAAACATGTGCCTTGCACACTGCTAGGCTTTCTTGTGATACATTGGTTGATTTCTGGTCAGCGTTAGGAGAAGAAACTCGACAATCTCTTCTAAGAATGAAAGAAGAAGATTTTATTGAGAGACTAATGTACAGGTCTCTAGCAAAAGCTCATCCCTTGTTTCATGCATTGCATTTAAATAAATGTGTTYTTTATTTGTTGATGAACGTAACCTTTAGAGATATGAAGTATCATGAATGCATTTTGTAGTAAAACTAACAGAAATAGTAGCAACTTCTTAGTAAGGAATAAATCTGATTTTTGTCTGCATGTTTAAGAGTTAAGCTAGTTTCAAGATTGTGTTGTCTTGATATATTGGATAGATATGATTTTAGTTAAGGAACCTATAACTTAAGCAGATGCTATGGTTTACAAGCCGAGCTTCAACCTGGTTCTGTATTATGCTTTCTTGATTTATTAGATAGATATAATTTTAGTTGACCCTATAGCTTAAAGATATTCTTTGGTTCACAAGCCAAGCTTCAACCTGGTAGTGTATTGTGCTGTCATGGGTTTAAAACTCCCTGGTACCTTAGACATTAAATATCTTAAGTTTAACTATCAAGAATTGTAGTTTAGATGCCAAGAGGGTGACTCAGGAGATTCTTGGACATAAAATAATRGCATACCTTCAGATATGCTCTTCGATGGAAGGAAAAAAAACCTTTACCTGAGCAAGGGCATTACTTGAGAGAAGGAAAAAGTACCCTTACTGACGATTATCAGATTATGGTGATTGACAATAAGTTTAGATTTGGACTTAAGAATTTGAAGTTTCATTTTTCAAGTATTGCACGTTATAATTTGAAGGTTTGAAGAACCAATAAATATTTGTACAATTTGAGCATTCGCCAATGCCAAAACTTCTCTAAGTTGTGGCAGGCAGTTCATCTCTTGACTCCTCTTATGTTCTCTAGCACAACATAGTGGACCCTAGAGGGGGATAATTGCCACAATGGCACATCTGCATTACGTTAGTGACAACTTCCACTTCCACACATATATGTACATTTTTTAGCTTATAAAGAAAAAGGGAAAATTGTAAAAAGCAAAGAGATAAAATCACTAAATGAGCTAGTTATTACATGGTTAGAATAACCATTATGAGTTATTCAATTTCCTATTGCTTGGTTTAATCCAATTCTTTGTTGCCAATGAAATTTTGGAGGAATATAAATTTAAAAAGTAGAGTGGCTAGTTTTTGAAGCTTGATATTGAGAAAGCATTGGACGGGTGGATTGAGATTTCTTAGAAGAAGTTTTAAAAGCAAAAAGGCTTCGACAAAAGACGGATTTAGTGGAYGATGGGATGCGTAATGGGGTTTCTTAGAAAAAGTGTTAAAGCAAAAAGGATTTGGCAAAATATGGATTCAGTGGATGATGGGCTTTGTAAGGGGAACACAATTCTCATTTTCTATAAATGATTGGCCTCGAGAGATAATTCAAGTCTCAAAGAGGACTAAGACAAGGTGAACTACTCTCATCTCTTCTTTTCTTAATGATCAATGAGGTTTTGAGTAGCCTTATTGAGAACATATATTCATACGGCCTCTTTGAAGGTTTACCATCATAAGTAATTCAATTCATGTTTCACATCTTCAATTTTTCGACGATACTCTTCTTTATTTGCAAATATGATGATGCAACGATGGATAAATTACTCGACTATATCAAGGCTTTAGAATGGATATCGGGTTTGAAGGTCAATTTGGATAAATAAGTTGTTTGTGGAACTAATGTGTATTCTTTTGATTCAAGTTGCTTCTAGGCTTCATTGTAAGGTGGAGTATTTGCCAATCTCCTATTTGGGTGTGCCCCAAGGAGGTAATCCGAATCCCCAAATATTTGGCTTCCAATATCTAAAAAGATTATGAAAAAGTTTGGATAGATGGAAGAGATTTCAACTTCCTAGAGGAGTAGGATTGACTTTGTGTAATGTGGTTTTTTTCTAATATCCCAATTTACTTCATGTATATATTTCTAATACCTTCGAAAGTTAGTATTTAAATTGAGAGAAGCATAAGAATTTTTTAAGGGGAGGCGATGATGCTGGGAAACTGAAGCATTTGGTTAGATGGAACTTAGCTTCTCAATATATAGAAGATGACAGTTTATGTATGGACGGGCTGAAATGGAGAAACTTGGCTCTTCTGGCAAAATGGGGTTGGTGATTTTTTCATAGAACTTCTTCTCTTTGGCGTCATGTGGTGGCCAATATATAGGCTTGAACCTTTTGGATGGTTGTTTGAGGTGTCCTTGAATCAACATTTCCAATCAGTGGAAGTTTGTGGAAAATCTTTCCCTTTTTTCTTTTTGATGGGAAACAGGGAAATATACTAGCATCTAATATATATATCATGAAATCATACAAAATGAGAGGGAAGATCGTCCTAAGCTGGAAGAGGCTACAAGAAACACCTCCAAGTGGCCATTAAAGAAGATAAATTATAGGCATGGAAGTATGTAGAATTTTTGCACCAATTGAGAGCCAAATAAGTTAAAGGTTCCATAATGTTGTCCATAGACTTCCCTTTGTCATTGAAAATGCGATTGTTTCTCTCCATCCAAGTAGACCACGAGAATGTTCTAATGAACTTGACCCATAGGAGCTTCTTCTCTCTTTTGAACGGATCCCCGGTTAGGCTGATGACGAGCATTCCTTGTATGCCTCTAGGGATGATTGTGTACCCCAACCAAAAGAGGATATCATCATTCAAAAAGATTCTGCCAGTGGGCAAGTGATAAATAAATGGCTTTGCGTTTCTGAGTCCTTCGCACATATAGAGCAAAAATTTGGGGAGATAGTAATGCATATTCCATGGGGATTTTTGCTGCAATATGTCAAAGTGGAAAGATGGTAAATGTATCTCTTTTTTGTCATGATATTTGGCTAAGAGCTTACTTTCTTTAAGTCCATTTTCCGCAACTTTGGAGGGTGTTTTACTACTTAACTGCTCTGTTTTTTATTATCGGGATGCATCTTACTATTCTTGGAAAATTGGGATGGGAAGAAATTTGAAAGAGGCTGAACTTTGAAGACTTTAGTTCTTTGCTGGCCAAGTTGGATTTGGTAAAGTTGGAAACTTGACCCTTTGGGATTGTTTTCAGTAAGTTCCTTGCCAAAGCATTTTGTTTCTTCTAATCCTTTGCCAAAAGAGGTGTTTTTGGCAATTTGGAAGTCAAAAATTGCAATTTTTTTAAATTACAAAATTTTTACCCCTAAGAGGGCATATGAACTTCAATTGATTGAAATTCCTTTAACAAATGGAAGCTCCACATGCTTAAATTACTTTAACAAAGTAAAGTTTCTTCTAATCCATGGATTCTATATAMTGAATTTTGATTGAGGATCTACAATTGATTGAAATTCCTTTAACAAATGGAAGCTCCACATGGTTAAATATGCAAGAAATACCCAGTCAATCTTTACTTAGATTCTTTGTTTCATTTGAATGGTTTGATGGTTTTTGGGAAACAGAAGCTATGAAGAAACCAAGATTACTTACTTCTAAGCATACCCCTGTTTATTAGAAACAGGAAATTTTAAGTGGCGTTTAATGCTGTTTCGTTGTGAAAATGGGTGGTTGAAACATTTTGGATTGGTTAAACAAGTTCAAGAATGCTTGGAGGAAGACTTCGTATATGATTGGCGAAGGTTTAAACTCTTAAGAACCTAAGAAACTTGAGGTGAAGCTGAAAGTGTGGAGCAAGTCATATGTGGGAAACCTAAAGTTGATAAAGGAGGAGCTAGAGACCTTTAGATGAAATTGAGCGACCTAAACACTAAACCCTAAAAGAAAAAACGAAGTATTTCAGGTCATGAAGAGTAATGGTAAATACCCTGTGCTGAATGGTTATGGGTTGATTCCTTAATTAGTATCCTCAAAATCAGATAAATGCAGGTCTCATCGAACACTTTATTTGTTTGATTAAAAAGAAAGAAAAGATGCTTTGTGTAAAAAAACTTTATATTAGTTCCGTGAATGGGATAATAAAATTATATCCAAGGTTCTAGTAGAAAGGCTAAAGAGGACCATCAMTTCTATTGCTACTTGCTTTCAACATGGTTTATAGGTGGTCGACAAATAGTGTATTCTGATTCTAATTGCCAACGAACTGGTCATTGACGCATCTAGGCAGCTGCCTTGGAAACGTTCCTACAATAGCCTTTTGTGGCACTAATTCGCCAATGCGGTATGTTGATATCAGGATTCCAGCTAATGACAAGGGGAAACGTATTATAGGATGTCTAATTTGGCTTCTGGCAAGGATGGTTCTGCAGATGCACGGAACTATACGCATTGGGCACAAGTGGGGACACGAGGGTGGACTTTTTTTCTATCGGGAGCTTGAGAAGCTAAGGAGGAAGAATAAGAAGCTGTTGCGCCCCCATATTATAGCATTGCAGATTTGGTGCTGCTCCGCTTGTTGCCTCATATCAATGGACTGGAAAAATTGCAAATGGAGTTGTGGAGGAAAGGATTATTCAAATGGAGGTTGATTTTTAAATTGATTTAGAGATTAGTCATGATATGGTTGATTGGGAAGTTCCTAAAGGTGGTTTTGGAGGAAAAGTTCCAGTTTGAGGTGGTTGATTGGATGAGAGGATGTGTTTTAGGAACAAAATTTTCTATTTTTCTTGATGGAAAACCTAGAGGGAGGGTGGAGGTTTTGAGTGGTTGTAGACAAGTGGATCCACCTTTTTTTTTCCTTTTTTATGGAGTGATATATACATATATATATTTTACATAGATGGAGTGATATCTTAAACTGGTTGTTGTCTCATGGAGTGATGGTAAGAGTCTTGCAAGGGTTTTTTGTAGGAAGGAAGAGCATTTCCATAACTCATTTGGAATTTGCTGATGTCACAATTGTTTTTATAAGATGGTCAAAGTATGATGCAAGAACTCTTTAAAGTTGTTAGGATTTTTTATATGGCATCATGATTGAAGGTGAATCTATTGAAAAAGAAGTGGCTTGTGTAATTAATATCAAGATGCAAAGAGTAGTTGACATGGCTACTAGGTTGGGCTTTTCTTTAAGATTTTTACCCATTACATATTTGGACATGCTTTGGGGGAATAATTTGAAGGGAGTGGATTTTTTGAGACAAATGAAAGAAAAAAGCTTAGAGAAAATTAGGAAAATGGAAGAATTTCCATCTCTGAAAGGAAAGGTGCTTGACTTTGGCTAATTCGGTACTTTTTAACCTCTCAACTCATTATGTGTCTATATTTCTTATCTAAAGAACAATATTGTTAACCTTTGAAAGAATATTGATGAATTTATTTGGGATGGAGGAAACGAAAAAAGTATTAGCCATCTTGTTAATTGGGGGAATAGCATCTTTGCCAGTTGGAAAAAGGTGACCTTGGAATTTGAAATTTGACAAAAACGAAATGAGGATTTGCTTGTTAATGGCTTTGGAGGTTTCATTTGGAGAGAGGGGAACCATGGAATGATATAGTTTCTTGCATCTATGCAAGGATATTTCTGTTTAGTTCACAAATAAGAGGAAATCTGGAAGTTATTGCAGCCTATGGAAAGAATGTTTCATGGTTAAGACATTATTCCTCAATCAGAGTTGGAAGTAGGGAGCAAACTTTGTTTTAGAGGACAAATGGTTGGGATCTCAACCTCTTTTGCAATTATTTTGAAGTATAGAAAAAGTGACTTGGTTTAAAAGTGTTTGGAGGAGGAGTTTGCTAAATGGAACCTTATGTTCAGAAGGAATTTAGCAGAAATTGAGGAAGGGAAGTTCAATTACTGCAATAGCTACTTAATTAGGTTTCTTTGAATCCAAAGGAAGATAAAAGCTACTGCATTCATTGGAAATGTTTCCAGTTAAATCTTGATTTTTTACTTATCAAACGTGAGAAGTTGTTTCAAGAAAATTTTGGCTATAACAATTTGGAGGAGAAAGTTCCAAAGAAAGTGAAACGCTTTCTTTGAACTTTGTGTCATAATGGCTTAACCATGATGGAAAGAATTCATAAGAGATGTCCTAATATGGTTCTTCTGCCAAATTGTTCTTTACGTAAATGTGAAAAGGAAGAGGTGAATCACTTAGTCTTCCATTGGGTTTTAGCTGGAATTTTTTGGCTTCGATTGTTGCAAATGTTTCAAGTTTCTTGGGTTTTAATGAGTGGGCTGAAGATAATCTCGAGCAATTATTGATTAGTCAAAGTTGCAGGAGAAAGGAAAATATTTTGTGGGTCCATACTAAAAATGCCTTTTCTTGGCAAGTTGAATATAAAGAAACTATGGATCTACAAGGGAAAGGAAGGAGCCGAGTTGGCTAAGTTCCATAGCTCTTCACTATGTTCTCTTTCTTTCTTTTTTTTTTGTTTTTTTTTATAACGGGGAATCGGAGCTTTGCTACCCTACACCAGGGTCACCCGCCCACACCCCAAGGTCCGGACCCAGGAGACATCAAAGATTTTTTGTATTAAGCTCATCAGAAGGTTCGAACTTGAGACCTCTAAACCAGTATGACCAAGAGACCCTCCTTGCCAATTGGGCTGCCCCTTAAGGGCTCTTTCTAGTTTCCAATTCTTCTTCTAATTATACTCTTGTTATCCAACTGGAGGGCTTTTTTTGTGAGTTTTTGCACAAGGGTTGTTGTTTTTCATGATGTGGGTTAGTATGTCTTTTTGTGGTCTTATTTGTACCTATAATTTTGAGATTTTTCAGTCTTTTTGTTTCTTTGATATTTACTATATTGCATGTTTTCCCTACATCAATGAAAATTGTGTTTCTCCCCAGAAAATAAAATCATAAAAATGTAAATTAAGTATTGAGCGCAATAATCATATAAATTAGCTACTGGATGATTCGGGATTTCCCCTTTTTGTATATTATATTTCATCACGTCCATGAAATATCTGTTTTCGCAAGAAAAAATATTTAAGTATAAGAAAAGAATAGCAAAAATCATGTTGTCAAAGCGAGTATAGCTCAGCGGTAATTGACATATATCCACAACCAAGAGGTTGTGAGTTCGGTCCCCCACCCCAGATGTTGTATTAAAAAAAAAAAGAAAGAATAGCAAAAATCATGTCTATGAATAGTACCTTAAATAAATATTATAAATCTCATTCCCAACATTATCATTATGGATCAACTTATTCTTTACTTTTTGTCATTAATTTTTTAAGGCTCGGGGGTAAAAGGAGTAGTGGGCTAAATTACGGCCTTGTGTTGTATTCACATTAAATAAGTGAACTTTTATATGTTTAAAGAATATGACAAATTAGTACTACCCTTTATTGTCATTTTAGTTTTTATGCCTCTTCAGTGGATCTTATGTAGCTATAAGCCTTTTCTTTAAGAGACATAATCCTCTTTTGATCAAAAGAAAGCATAAGACTCCAGACCAAAAATTTGAGCCTAAACTTGAGATGAGCCTCATGGTGTAAGCCCCAAAAATATATATATACTTTGATATCCGTGAGTGTCCAAGCCAGCTTACGTGCATTTCGACGAATCTCATGGCGCAACCGTCTGATCCTACAACATTTGGTGCTGGRAAAYACATAGGAATTAGTAATTTCTAAAGTAGGTGGCTATCATGGGATTTAAACCCATTCTCTCTTAATTAATCCTAACTCCTTTGGACCAATGAGCCACCCACGATGGTTAAGCCCCAAAAATGTTTTGAAACATYGGTTCTAGTTAATCATTTTGCATATTTTGCTGGCACTTAATTTAGTTGCACGAATTCAAAGACTCTCCCCTTGACATTTTTTGGGATCGCATAAGAATTTTCACTTCTAAATAGGTGTCTAATCTCATAAGATTTTTGTAATTACAATTTGATACAAATCTATGCCAATTGAGAATCTTTTTTATAACTCCCTTGGCTGATAGGAATACCTCATGTCATTTTTTACATCTTATTCTTTYGTTTATAAAATCCTTCGTTTCCTACTAAAAACATTACTAATTGAGGAAAATAGGAGACGGGCCTTATTTATTCTATTAAGGTGAGCAATCATTGGTGTATATATTTCTGTTTAATTACTCTTGTCAGCACTTTTCTTGCTCCGTAATTATTTTTTTTTGGCTTCTTAAATTAATTACATTGATTTTCTCACAGGTTTGACAGCAAGAGGTTTTGTAGAGATTGCAGAAGAAATGTAATCCGTGAGTTCAAGGAACTGAAGGAGCTGAAGCGCATAAGGAGAGAACCTTGTTGCACTAGTTGGTTTTGTGTTGCAGATATGGCATTTCATTATGAGGTGCATCCTTGCACTTTTATTCAACTTTAAGCACTCTTMTACCGTCATTGATTATCATTTCAACTTTAGAATGAATATGATGACTWTGTTGATCCTGTAAGGTTTCTCAAGATTGTGTGCTTGTTGAAACCAGCGTGAAAGAATTTAAAATTGTTATTGTTTCAGGTATCGGATGACACTGTCCAGGCTGATTGGCGTCAAACCTTTGCTGACTCTGTGGAGACTTATCATTATTTTGAGTGGGCTGTTGGAACAGGAGAAGGAAAATCTGACATTTTGGAATTTGAAAATGTTGGCATGAACGGAAGTGTCAAAATGAATGGCCTAGATCTTGGTGGTTTAAATTCATGCTTTATCACCCTCAGAGCTTGGAAATTAGATGGACGCTGCACTGAGCTTTCAGTGAAAGCTCATGCATTGAAAGGTCAACAATGTGTTCATCGCAGGCTTTCAGTTGGTGATGGATTTGTTACAATCACAAGAGGCGAAAATATTAGGAGGTTTTTTGAGCATGCTGAAGAGGCCGAGGAGGAGGAGGTTGTTCTCTTTCTTGCAATTTTGTCTCTCTGGAATTTTTTGTTTTGTAAAAACTTTTGTATGTCAATCATATGTTCAATATTTAAATGTTTTCTTGTTTCTGCTATGAAGAAGCCCGTGCAATCTTACATTTCAAGAACTTAAAATTCTTGTGGGTGACAAATTTTTCATCTTCTAAATCTTGACAACTCTAATTGTTTCTCTGAATTTTGTGGCTTTTAGGAGGATGATTCGATGGATAAAGATGCAAACGATTTGGATGGAGATTGCTCTCGTCCTCAAAAGCATGCTAAGAGTCCTGAACTTGCTCGGGAGTTTCTTTTAGATGCTGCAACTGTCATCTTTAAAGAACAGGCATGTCGTCTGCAACCTTTGTGGGTTGTGCTTTCTTGCCAATTTGCATTTGTGGCATTATTCTTTCTCTACGATAATTCTATTGCTCTAAGAAATTTTATTAAGCACAAGGGATATTATTACCAGTTAGACACTTTACAAGGAAAAACCAATTAAAAGTTAAATTACTACATCTATAAAACCAGGTGAAAAAATTTTGCCTTATTTTCAGTGACATTATTGGTTCATACACACACACACACACAATTCTTTTGTTTTTTTTTTTCGTTTTTCCTTGTTTTCACTTAGTTATTTTTTAATGAGATATAGAAAAGAGGACTAAGGTGGCTACAATTTCTTCTAGGTAATTCCTCCCTGGCTTGTGACAATGGAAAGAGTGGATAATAGAGAACTATAAGATAGGGAAAATTGGAAAGAATTAGGGAGAAGAGAGATAGGAGGAGAAGTTCTCAAAAACTTAAAACTAATTTCAATATTGAAGTCTACTTGCTGCAGTTTACCAATGGGTCAATTCTTTTGTTGGGAATTTGAATTCAACATCTTTGGATGCATAGCATTCAGATGCTTGAGAATCTGAATGTTCAGCATCATTAGGTAGTTGTTTTATTTTACCCTAACGCTTTYTGATGTCTAAAAATATTTGGATTGTGTATTTGTCTTGTAAGATTTATGCATGGAAATGTATTATAGTTACCCGTGAATCCAAATGCCTTTTTTATACTAGTCTATATCACACAAAACTCTAAGTTTAATTCATTTTATATTTGCAAATTTAATATTTATATTGTGTTATAGTGATCAAGTAGTCTCCCCACAAGTTAACTAGAGTAGCTTTCCAATCTTTGACAATCATAAAGAGAATATAATTACAAAAGAAGAATTTCTTATAGCTTGTAACCCACCAAGAAACAGTGTGCTATATGCTTATGACAAAAAGAATCCTGAAGGGTCTTTTTCCCTTCTAAAATTGTACAATTTCGTTCTCTCCAAAGCATCTAGAGTAAGGGTCAAACTGTGCAATTCCATAATATCCTAAGTTTACCCTTTAGAAGAGAGCCACCAAAATTTTCCAAAATAAGATCATCAATTCTTTGAGGAAGACAGAAGGATAAAACCCAACTGAGATCTAATGAAAGACCAATTACCACAAGTAAAAGAGCAATGCAAAGAAGGTGGTCCACCGTTTCTTCATTTCTCTTACACAGGCAGCAACAAGAGGGAGATAAAGCACGGAAACCGTTTCTAAAGCCTATCCACTGTATTCACGCTTCTGTAAAACAATGACCAAAGAAAGAATATAACTTTCTTGGGCACTTTGAAATTCCAGCTGTAATTTATACCACAGGGGCTTAAATAGTATGGAGAAAGCAGATTTGGTTGAGAAGTTGCCGCCGCTGTCGGCCTTCCACCATATTGTATCCTTCCAATGCCAAATTTGCACTAAGTCTGGCTTCTCTGTTAGTAAGATCCATCTAGGAATCTCCCTATCAAAACGATTCCTTCTGAAGCCAAGATCCCAAGTACTGGAACTTTCCACCCAACAATGAGCAATAGAACAACCTTTCCTAGAGAGGCCATAGAAATCTGGAAAGAGAGAAGATAGAGGGGGAGGCATCTATCCACACATCTTCCCAGAATCTCATTCTTCCCCCATTTGAAGCTTTAAATGTCACGAAATTCATAAAGCCCTGCCTATTTTTGTCAAATATCAACCATGGTCTAGCTCTAGCCGTATCTTTTGCCGTTCTTGTTGACCAGCCATGTGCCTTGAGGCCGTAAATTGCAGCAATGACTTTGTGCCATAACCCAGAATCTTCATGAGAAAACCTCCATATCCATTTAAGGAGAAGTGCCTTGTTTCTCTGTTTCAGTGAACCGACGTCTAAACCACCACGTTGTTGAGGCAAAGAGGTCCACTTACGACTACCCTTCTTTTGGGTTCCCCCTCTCCAAATAAAATCCCTAATCAGCTTCTCCATTGCTACAATGACAGCATTTGGCGCCTTTAAGATTGAGAAATAATAAACCGGAAGGCTATTTAGGACTACTTGCGCTAAAATGAGTCTTCCCCCCTTATAGAGAGGGAGATTTATCCATTTATCGATTCTAGCCTTCATTTTATCTTCCAAGGGCCCATAAAACCACATCAGACTGATTTCCCCCCAGAGGGAATCCAAGGTAGCAGCAAGACAACTCTTATCTCTTACGGGCAAACTTAGAAGCCCATCTGTCAACCTCTGAATTACTACAATTTATCCTGGTCAAAGAAGTTTTTGAGGTGTTCAAACTTCAAAACCAGCCCAGAGACCAGGACGAAGATGTGAAAAATTCTCCACCAATTTTCCATCAACTCAAAAATATCTGGGCAAAATAGAAGCACGTCATTTGCGAATTGTAAATGAGTGAAGCTCCACTGACTCCCCCAGCATAAAACCTTGGACAATATTTCTTTCAACACAAAAAATGAATCAAACAGCTTAAAGAGTCACCAATTATAGTAAAAAGAAAGAGGGAGAGGAGATCCCCTTTTCTTAAACCTCTTTTGGCAAAAATCTTGCCTCTAGGCTTACTATTAATCATAATAGAGAAATTCGCAGAGGAGATACAACCCACTATCCACTTTCCCCATCTATTGCAATCAGCTTGTAAAGGGAAAACCAAACTTATAGGCCTAAAATCCCTAGTGTCTGAAGCCCTACCTTCTTAGGAATAAGGCAAATATAAGTTTCATTGGAACAATTGTTTATGATACTTTTCTCAAAAAAGTCTTGGAACACCTTTACTAGATATGCTTTCAAGATGTTCAGGTATTTTTAAAGAATTCATTGGTCATCCAACTCATCCCATCCCCCCCTCAAAGGGGTTCTTAGCTTGGGTTGTGTCTCTCAAAGTTTCAAGAACATAGATCTAGTGGTAAAACATTTTCCACTCTCAAGGGTCCAATCCAGCTTATCGTCCCCCATTCCCACCCAAAAAGAATTCRGTTTGCTCAACAAACTTATCCAGCTATTGACTTCTCTATCCAAATCCTCTCATTGGTGAAATAAAGCTTGCTTTCAAAGAGGTAACTGTGTCAGAAATATGACTAGTGATGAGTTCTTTAAGTGGGTACCGAGATTTCATTATTAAAAAAATGAACTTTGGCACCACATCAAAGACAAGTTTGTGTGGGAAGAGAAGAAAGGGTGGTTTACAAGAGACCAAAAAAGGATTTACGTAGTCCTTGGTGGAATACATAAAAACCAACAATATAATAGGAGAATTCTCCAATACCAGGCTTGGTATTGGTAATAAAACTTGTTTTAGGAAGAATTGGTGGCTGGTCGTGCAATCATTGACGTAGATATTCATTCCTTTTTTGTTGTCACATTGGCACCAAAGGCTTCAGACAATACAAGTCCTGGAAATTTTTAACTAGGAGGAATCTGAATGTAGTGAGCTTAATGAGTTTTGTTGCCTTATTCTAAAGGTTAATGAGTACCAATTCCATGCTACCAACTATATCAATGTGGAGGTAAAGGGCCAAATAAGTCAAGTTCTTGTGTTGGTTGGTTTGTCTGAAGGTGCTAAATAAATACAGTTGAGAGATCACAGGAAGATGTTCATTTCCTATCTTGCTACTAAGTTGGTTATCCACTGTGTACGGAAGCAAATGCAACTCAAAGTCATCAGCTGTTTCTTTGTTTATTGGAGTATGAAGTTTTGGGAGGTCCTCCTCAGCTTCAATTTTTCTTGGGTTTTTTGCTCTCTTTTGAAACGGGGCAAAGCAAGAATAATGTGGTATAATTTAGTGGTGACTGGTTTGAATTTTTCAGGGGGTTAGACTCTTATCCTGATGTTGCTGGGATCAAGTCAAACTTTTCTCTGTTCCCTTTATAATGATTTTTGTAATTATGGCTTGATGCAAATTTATGCCAACGAGGAGTCCTTTTTGCAATCCCATTGGCTGGTTGGGGATATCTCATCTCCTTTCCCTTCTAGTATATCCTCTCTCTTGTGGTTATTGAATTCGTATTTTTCCTATAAAAGAAACTGTTGAGGGGACATAATTTTAAATGGAGGACTAAGGTCCTCTGGAGTCTGGAATAATGCAACTGAAGTATGTATTGGCGGCTTTGGCTAGAAAGAAACTATTGGATTTGCGATGATAGGGATAGAATTTGGGAAGGAGTTCATGATTTGGCCAGCCTTGATGTCTCCTGGGTCTGGGCCTTGGGGTAGGTGCGGATTTTCCCAATTATAGGAAAGAGCTAAACTGCTTTGATTCCAAGTCATTAAAAACTAATGGTGTGAGAAATGTCCATTATATTTTGAGATCTAGTTAGACTTTTTACCTCTACTCAATGCTCTCTTTTGAAAGAGTTAATTATGATTTGGTGCCAATCTTTCTCTTGTGATGTGAGACGAATAACATGTTAATTTGTTATTTATTTAGTTAATTATTTTAGTCCCATCATTAGTATTGGGTTAATTAGTTTTTTTTTTGTTTTTTTTTTATTTTTTAAATTTGTTAATTAGTGTTTGTGAGGCTATAAGGAGCCCCTTTTAAATCGTAATGGACTTAGTTTTGAGGTAATGGATGGACAGGGAGAAAAAATCAATCAGCCTTCATACAAGGAAGGCAACTTTTGGATCCAATCCTAGTGGCAAATGAGCTGGTTGATGAGTATAAAACCAAGAAGGAAAAGGATGGATCATATAAAGCTAGATTTTGAAAAAGCTTATGATATGGTGGATTGGGATTTTCTCCTCAAAGTGCTTCATAGGAAAGGATTTAGGGCTCGATGGATCTCGTGGATTAAGGGCTGTATCTCGAATACTTCTTTCTCCATCTTAATAAATGGAAGACTGCGTGGCCGAATCAAAGCCTCTTGAGGCCTACGCCAAGGTGATCCTTTAGCCCCTTTCCTTTAAGTCCTGGTTGCTGATGTGTTGAGTAGTTTGCTTGACAAAGGAGTGATGGAAGGCTGCTTAAAAGGTTTCCATGTGGGTGCTAATGGGGTACATGTTAACCACCTTCAATTCGCAGACGACACACTAGTTTTTTCCACAGATGATAAATCTTTATTGGTAAATATAAAGGAGATGGTTTGCTGCTTTGAAGAGATCTCAGGGTTTAAAATTAATTTGGCCAAATCGCGAGTGGTTGGTGTAAATGTGTCCGAAGAGGAGCTGATGACCACGGCCAATCTTTGGGATTGTGCAGCAGGGTCTTGGCCTTTGTCCTATCTGGGAATGCCGCTTGCAGGTAAAGCTAACAAGAAAGCTTTTTGGCAGCTGGTGGAGGAAAAAGTAGAAAGAAGGCTAGTGAAATGGAACTCTCTAAATCTCTCCAGAGAAGGAAGGCTACCTTGGCTAAGTCCGTGCTCTCGAGCATCCCATTGTGTTACTTCTCCATGTTTAAATGTCCAAAGCAAGTCATTTCCAGAATGGAGAAGCTAATAAGGGATTTTTTCTGGAAAACAGTCAACAAGGGGGGTTGTCCTCACCCCATTCGGTGGGAGGTGGTCACTAAGTCGGTTAAGTTGGGAGGAATAGGTTTAGGTAACTTGTCAAACAAAAACTATGCTCTCCTAGCTAATGGGGATGGAGATTTATGACCGAAACTGAAGCTCTGTGGAGAGATGTGATTGCTAGCAAATATCATCTCCAGGATACGGAATGGTGGCCAACCATTAAAGGTGTTGTGCTGTTCAAAGGTCCCTGGGTCCGCATTGTCAAGTGCTGTCAGGGTGCTGAGAGATGGTATAAAACAAAGGTGGGCAAGGGAGACAAAACTTTGTTCTAGAAGGACCCTTGGCTTCAAACCTCTCTCCAGAGTCTACCCGAGATTGTTCAGAGTGTCTTCAACAAAGAATCTCACTGTAGAGCAAGAAGAAATTTGGCAGAAATGGAAGTAGATGAGTGGGCTGAGTTGATACTTCTTCTAGAAGTCATTAACATGTCAACCATGAATGACAGGAGAATCTGGTCCCTTGAAAACTCCGTCTTATTCTCTGTCAAATCCCTCACTAAATGCCTAAATCAACGGAATATAGAAGGAGATCAGTTCGAGGGAGCTTTTCTGTGACATCTAGAGGTCCCTAAAAAAGTAAAAGTTTTCATGTGGCTGCTGATGCATGGGAGCTGAAGACCCATGGTACCCTCCAAGAACAAATACCCTTTCTTAATCTCTCCCCTAGCTGGTGTGTTTTATGCAAGAAGAGTAAGGAAACCATGTGGCATCTTTTCTTCAATTGTCCTTTTGCGGTAAGTTGTTGGAAGGAGCTCTTCCAGATTTTCAAGCTCACTTGGTGCTTTCCAAACTCGGCTCCGGACGCTCTCCTTCAGCTCATCCAAGGTCCTTATCTGAAAGAGCATGCGAAGATTCTGTGGACTCGTGGGGTGGTTGTTTTGGTGTGGAGATTATGGTTTGAAAGGAACAATGGAACGTTTTGAGGAGAAGAGACCGATAGGAAAATGTTTTGGGAAGTTGTAAAAATTTTTGCTTCTTCATAGGCTGCTAGTACAAAGGTTTTTTTGTAATTATTGTATCTCTCAAATCTTTGCCAATTGGGAGTCTTTTTTGTAATCCCACGGCCTGAGGGGATATCTCATCTCCCCATTTTGTACTGTCTCTTTTGATAATGAAAGTGATGTTTCTTATGGAAAAAAAAAAAACAACTTTTGGACATTATTCTATAGAAGGGTTGTCAGAGAGAATTTGGGGAGGTTTCTCCGTTCTAAACAGATTTCCTTCTTGTCCGTGGCTAGTGGCACCATTAAACTAAATCTGGCGCATCACCTTGGCTTGGTGGGATATCTCATCTCCATTTTTTTTATATCCTCCATTCTTAATGAAAGTCTAAGTGAAGTTCAACTTAAATCTATTTACATTGTATTGTATTACAATTTTTTTTTTTAATTTCGAGTAGAAAATATTATCCAATTTGACATTAAAACAATGCACAAGTAAAGTGGAATATTATCCTATTGTTTTCCTACATGAATGATACTTTTCTCATTTCAAAGAAATTTCTCTTGAATTTTTTCCTCTCATCAGATTAGCCCAGCTGCTTATTAAAATCCGATTGAAAAGTTCAAAATTGTAGTCTCTTTTCTTCTCAGTCCTGYTTATCAAGGGTATTTTCTAGTGCTATCTATTCTTCTAGCTTCTTTGACTGGAAATCTATTACTGGTACCAATCTCAGTTTTGCCTAGGAATTGTGGATTATTTTTATTCTTATACTTTGTGGCCTTTTTCAGGTTGAAAAAGCATTCAGAGAAGGAACAGCACGCCAAAATGCACATAGCATCTTTGTTTGTCTTGCACTAAAATTACTTGAAGAACGAATTCACATAGCATGCAAAGAAATCATTACTCTAGAAAAGCAGGTTTCACTGCTAGCTATATCATTACTCAGAAGTTTAGTTACCAAAATTAAGATCTCTCTTTACTGCTCACCTTTGCGGATTTTGCTGCAGATGAAACTTCTTGAAGAAGAAGAGAAGGAAAAGCGTGAAGAAAAAGAACGCAAAGAGCGCAAAAGGACAAAAGAAAGAGAGAAGAAGCTCCGAAGAAAAGAAAGATTAAAAGGAAAGGAAAAGGATAAAGATAAGACTTGTTCTGAATCAGCTGAAGTATGTGCTCATTCTGATGTCTTGGAAGATTTGTCCCCCTGTGTTTTGGAGCCAAATTCCGATTCAGTGGGTGATGCATGTGATGCCAGCATGCCTGAATCTTCTGATATGCTGGATGAGCAATTTTTAGATGAATCTATTATTTCTGAAGTGCAAAATTCATATGATGATAGCTTTGATGGGAAACCTACTGATGGGAACGATGGAAATGAGTCTTTCATAGTTGACCAATCAAAATTTTCTCGCTGGAGATTAAAATTTCCAAAGGAAGTTCAAGATCAATCTTTCAAGTGGTCGGAGAGGCGCCGATTTACAGTTGTTTCAGAAAATGGGGCTCTGGTTAATAGATCTGAGCAAAGATATTATGGTGATAGTTTGGAGAATCCTTCGAGGAGTATGAATGGGACAAACAGGAAATTAAGATCAAACTCAATAAAGGCCTATGGTCGACATGGCTCTAAGTTCAATGAGAAGTTGCACTCTTCCAACAACCGGGTGTCTTWTGATTACCGTTCCTGCATCTGTAGCCAAAATAATGAATTTAACAAAAAGGTAGAGCYATTTGTTTCTTCAGTTAGAGTTAACCGAGATGCCAAATCTGTGAGCAAGTCAGAATCTTCATTTGATATGTCCAAGCAAAGTTATCGTTCTAACAAGTACGGCTATGGAGATCAGTCTCGTGACAGCGGAAGACTGAAAAACAAAGCTGCTTTATCAAACAATTCTCCTGGTAAAGATTTTGTTTATTCAAAGAAAGTTTGGGAGCCCATGGAATCACAGAAGAAATATCCTAGAAGTAACTCAGACCCAAATGTTGCAATGAAGTCTTCGACTTTCAAGTTCGGTGTGGAACCTGATTATGACCTTGCAAAGTCAAGGCATGACGTGTGCAGTGGTGAAGTTAGTGTAGCTTCGGGTAAAGTTGATCAAGAGGAGAGTAATTCCACCGAATCAACCTCTGGTATTGAATCAGATGAAGTCTTCCAAAATGGACTTCCTACTGAACCAAAAGATCATAAAAACGTAGAAGAAGATGCATGTGAGGAGGCTACACAGTGTTCTATAAATTCGACAATAAACTCAACATTGAGATCCAGTGGGAAGAATAACCATGTAGGAACCAGCTCTTTAAGTTCTGATAACTGCTCATCATGCCTAAGTGAAGGAGACAGTAATRCCATCTGCTCGAACCATGGAAATCTGGAATCATCATCCACATCAGACTCAGAAGATGCTAGCCATCAATCATCAGARGGAAAAGAATCTTCTGCATCCATTCAGAATGGCTTCTCTGAACGTCATGAGATAAGGATGGACAAAGTAAATGGAGGAGAATCCATGGGGACTAGAATTCATTTCGGTCTTCCACAAGATAATGAGGGATGTAAGGTTCTAGGAAACGCACCGATGAACGTTCCCCATAACTTTGAAGCAGGATTCTCTGCTGTTAGTTTGGATTCCCCATGTCAAGTGACACTTCCTTCAATTCAGAACCAAAATATTCACTTTCCAGTGTTTCAGGTTCCTCCATCAATGGGTTATTACCATCAAAATTCAGTTTCATGGCCAGCAGCTCATGCTAATGGGATGATGCCTTTCTCCTATTCAAACCACTGTCTATATGCCAATCCTCTTGGGTATGGTTTAGATGGAAATCCACGGTTCTGCATGCAATATGGCCATTTGCATCATCTAGCTACTCCCGTCTTCAACCCGAGCCCGGTTCCTATTTATCAGCCAGCTGCTAAAGCCAGCAATGGTATATATGTCGAAGATCGAAGTCAGGTCTCCAAAGCTGGTGCAATAGCAGAAAGCTCGGATGTAGCTAACCCAGACGTTGTCGTTACTGCTGGACTCCCATATGCACTTGGTTCGCCACCAAGCGGAGATTGTAAGCAAAATGATACTTCCAAATTGCAAAAAGGCAGCTCAAGCTTTTCATTATTCCATTTTGGAGGGCCTGTTGCACTTTCAACAGGAGGTAAATTAAATCTCATGCCTTCCAAGGAAGATGATACCGGGGTTTTTCCGAGAAATAGTGAAGCAGATGTTGTCGACAATGGTCACGCTTTCAATAAGAAGGACACTGCCATTGAAGAGTACAACTTGTTTGCAGCAAGCAATGGCATGAGGTTTTCATTCTTCTGAGTGGAAACAAGATATGAGGGGGCTGTTTTCGAATTTCTAGTCCCTATCTTCATATTAATTTTTTTTTAAATGGAATTTTACAGGACTTGCTACATAATAAGTTTTCTTGAAATCTCAATTTTACTTATAAGTTCTTCTGTAGTTGATTGCTCTCAAATTTGTCTCATTATTTTCACTGGTGTAGAGAACAAAAAGCAGAAAAGAAAAAAGAAAAAAAAAAGAAAAAAAAAGGATGAAAGAGTATTGTGTTTGAAAGTTTTCGAAATGAGGTGTTTTCTATCACGAATATATGTCGATATGAAAATTTTGCTGCACATATGTGCTTTGAATGGAACTGTGCAGTTTTGATCAGTTTTCTGAAGAATTTCTGTAGCTTCACTTGAAATTTTGTGTGCATGTATATCTTTGGTTGTGACCTTCGGACATTTTGGCTCTCACTTATCATACCATATTACTTTTTACGGTTTTAGAGACTTCTCTCTCGACTTTAACGRCGATAAAAACTTTATCACTGTGTAGGATCTGATGAGATTCTTAACTCGCAATAAAGTTAGGAGCACTATTGATTGAAGTAGAAAACTATTGATTGAAGTAGAAAACTTGGTGGTTGCCCTTTTTTTGTATTCATTTATATAGCAGAAAAGTCACTTTTTGAGTTTCTTTCCTCTTCGGACGAGAAATCAAAATACTTATATCGTTTTTTGAAGGTCTCATACTTGTTATCTTGTTAGATTTGATAAAATTTAATAGAGATGATGAAGTTCAAAATTTTTAATGTACAAATTCCAACTTGTGAAAGTTGTGGAATCAATTATCTACTTTCTTCTGTCATTTGTCTTTTTTTTTTTTTTTTCTGATAAAATATCATTTGTCTGTGCCAAACCAATCAACATTTATATAATGGGCATATAATGTATCATTTATTTATTTTTCTTTTGATGTCATTGAGGGTCATGGCCACCTAAATTTTACGAAATTATATATATATACTTACACGTCATGCTCAAGTTTGATGTTATTGCAAAGATCTTGCCATAGAAGAATATGGAAGCTTTCTAGATTACTTATTTAGTTTTATGATAATTTTGTAATAGACTATTTGTACTAGTCTGCACAAGAAAACAATTGTAACAGATTATCTGTAGTTTAATGATAGATTCGTTTTATCATATTGTTTTCTTTGTGTAACAAGTATTTAGGATTTAATATTGAAATTTTAGGTACAAAAAATATATWTTTTTTTAGAAAAACTGTATATTGGCTAGGGAATAGGACATTAAAAATAAATAAAWAAACTTTTCCCGACGTCTAAAAATCCATCGGGAAAAGTCCCATTTCCCCATGTTTAAAAAACTATCACGAAAAGTCCCATTTCCCAATGTCTAGCTGAAGCGTCGGGACTTTCCCCGACGTGTTGTTAAAACATTGGGAAATGTGAGCCATCCCGACGTTTTTCAAAATGTCTAAAAACATCCCATTCTTTTGATAAATTTTGTCGAGATGGGATCTCCCAACGGACTTTTCCCGACGTTTTTCTTGACAAAGGAAAAACGTCGAAAAGGATTTTGGCTGACGTTTTTCGAGCCTTTCCTGATGCTTTTTYTCGTCAAGAAAAAGGCAATTTTTGGTAGTGTTCCYCGTAAAAATCTAAAKGTTAAAATATCATTTTGGTCCTTGTACATTCTTTAGTTTTTTTTGTTACTGTATTGTTATGTTATTATTTTTTACTGATTTCACATAATCCTCATACTTTGTAAGTAGTTTTATCCCTTAAACCCAATTAGCTAAAGCTAACTAATCCAGTCTATTTTTTAGTTAAGAGAGTTTGCGTGTACGGAGGTTTCGGGGATGTGAGATAAAGATCAGTTTTCTTGGCTTATGGGTGTGTTTGCTCCTCTTTTGAGAAATCAATACAACTCATCAACTCTGATTCAGCAGTAAACGTAGATCATCCTTGATCGAACCACTTAAATTTTTGTGTCTTCCTTCTTCTATTCTAGATATGTGTTTTTGTTTGCTCCCCTAAGGTGTAATTGCTAGTTTTTCTAYATCTTACAATTTGGTATCAGAGTCAGGTTTGTGGATTCTTGTTGTTAATGCGTGATTCTTCTACTTTGATACTTTCAAGATTCAGAAATTGAGGTTCAGGATGTCAACAAAGTTTGAATTGGAGAAGTTCGATGGAAGGGTGACTTCGGATTATGGTGAAAGAGAATGAAAGCGCTTCTTGTCCAGCAGAAGGTGGCGAAGGTTCTCGATGATCCTAGTAAGTTGCCCGAAACTCTCACTGTAGAGAAGAAACAAGAAATGAATGATATTGCTTGTAGTACCTTAATACTTCATCTTTCGGATAATGTTTTGAGGAGAGTTAGTGACATCGAAACTGTGATAGAACTTTGGGAGAAACTTGAAAAACTGTACATGTCCAAATCTTTGACAAACAAGATTTATTTAAAAGAAAGAATATTTAGCTATAAGATGGGTCCTTCAAAATCGTTGGAGGRTAATATTTATGAATTTAATGTCATTTGTTTGGACTTGGCTAATTCGAGGGAAAAATTAAGTGGAGAGAATCAAGCAGTAATCCTCTTAAATTAGAGAAGTATAAAGTGAAAGCAGCCATTAAATATGGCAGAGATACTCTTACCTTAAATTTAGTACTTGATTCTTTGAGATCTAAGGAACTTGAGTTCAAAAATGAGAAGAAAGATTAAGAGGCCTTATTTTCTAAAGGAAAATTTAAGAGAAATCAATACCATAAAGGAAATAAAAGTCAGAGAGGTTTTCAAAAGTCTCAACCTACTGATGGTAAGGAACAKAAAATAATTTGTCATTATTGCCATTGTCCTCAGCTAAAAAAGAAGAGAAAATTGCCTGAAAAAAAGGRATATAAAACTGCTGTAAATGTGATGGAGGGGTATGAATCGRCTGAGGTATTGATGGTATCTAATGGAAATGAAACAGATGAGTGGATCATGGATTCAGGATCACGTTTCATATGACTCCTCATAAGCACTTTTTTCTGAACTGAATGAGTTTGATTCAGGAAATGTGGTAATGGGCAACAATCAATATTGTGTAATCAAAGGTAATGGCTCAGTAAACTTGAAACTAGCTGATGGGTCTGTAAAAACTGTCATCTGTTAGATATGTCCCTGGTCTAAAAAGAAATTTGATTTCTCTTGGTACATTACACAAAACTGATTTTGCTTATACTTCTGTAAGGATGTAGCTGTAAAATTGAAAGGTATTCTTATAAATGGYCTGTATGTACTTCAAGGAAGTACACTGATTGGAGAAACTAACACTACTACTGATGGACCAACCTAYGGCATAAGAGGTTGGGTCATGTTAGTCTTAAAGGCTTGGATAATTTGTATAAACAGGGACTTCTTAGAAAATTAGCTCGTTCAAAGCTAACTTTTTGTGAGCATTGCATCTTGGGAAAAGCAGCCAGACAAAGTTTCTCGGCTGCTAATCATAAATTTGCTAAAAAGTTGGATTATATCCACTCGGATCTATGGGGGCCTTCGAGAGTTATGACTCATGGAGATATTTCTTAAGTCTGATTGATGATTATTCAAGAAAACTTTGGGTGTATATGTTAAGAACCAAAGAAAACTTTAGATYATATCCACTCGGACTTTTCCCGATGTTTTTATTGACAAAGGAAAAAACGTCGGGAAGGATTTTGTCTGAAGTTTTTCAAGCCTTTCCTGACGCTTTTTTCGTCAAGAAAAAGACAATTTTTAGTAGTGCTACCATTGCCCCTCATAAAAATCTAAAGGTTAAATTATCATTTTGGTACTTGTACTTTCTTTAGTTTTTTTGGTACCTGCATTTTCAAAATATTCACTTTGGTTCATGTACTTTCAAATTTGGT